CTAATTGCTTAAATAAGACCTTTATTGGATTTGATACATTTTGGAGTGCAAACTATTAAAACTAACTCTAAGGACACATTTTAAGATATCAACGAATGCCAACAAACACCAAGCCCTTGTGATCAGATTTGTACCAACACAAATGGCAGCTACTCGTGTTCCTGCGAGCCTCTCTTTACTCTGAACACAGACAACGCAACGTGCTCTAGTAAGTATTGCTGTATGTTATTGGGTGGGACCTAAATTGAAGATGGGGGGGGGGGGGGGTTAATAAGAGAAATAGTAGCTATAGTCTACTATCGTTTTTGTAAACCAATTTAGTAAGTTAGATTGCCCATTAGTCAAACATATACCATGCTTTAATTAAAAACATTTTTGAGAATACATATTTTAAATATATTTCTATGCACAAACTTTAAGACAGTAACAAATGTCAAAAAAACTTCAATCTTTGTGATGAGATTCGTAACAACACAATAACAGCTACCCAACATCACAGACAATGCTACGTTGCAAGAAAGAGGTTCTGTGTTACTCACTAAAATAATTTCAAAAATTTAGGTTTTCTTCTTCGTTCTTAATTTTTAGTGTTTGAAGAGATTGGGCACCAGCCATATGTGGAGACTTAAATATCGTTATTGACTTTTTGCTTAGTACATGTTAATTTTTGTAAATGGACTCTCGTAAAACATGTATAAAATCGTATGCATTGTATAATAAATTTACATCAAATAGCAGTTTATAATTTATATTTTAGAATTTATATATTGTGGTTAACCCTACTCTGTGGTCAAAGCTCCGCTGTGGCCAAAGCTCCGCTGTGGACAAAGCCCCTATGGTCAAAGCCCCTATGGTTAAAGCTCCGCTGTGGTCAAACCCCCTACTAGTTAGCAATTCGGGCTGTAAAAAGGGTTTAAAAAACGAACAGTTCTCTCACCAATATCGCCAGGCACTTGTTTCATCAAAATGTTTGGATATTATGATGAGTATATAGATCAAGATCCGAACTCTTGACGTGTGGGCTAGTAAGTGTTTGACTTTAGAGAAATTTTACCAATACGAATTTAATTTGATTTCACATCTGGATAAACGCCCAACTGATACTTATGCTAGGAAATGCACAAATGTTATTGACTATATACTAAATTGACAAGGTTATCCCTGTTTGCCGTGTAGATAGTTCTGTTGCTGTTCTCGTTGTATGCAAATTGTGTTGCGAGATCTTGGTAGTAATATTTTAAGAAACATACGGACAGACAGATAGACGGACGGACGTATGAACGGAAAAACGGACAGGCGTGCAGGCAGGGAATAAGTGATGTAGACAGACAGACAGAATAATAACATTATTATAAATCAAGCTTTGTCACCGCTTTGTTGTCGGGAATATACAAACATTCTCATTCATGTAAAAAATTGTTTTCGGACCATAACAACTAACGTTAAAATAAATCAACATTTTTTTTTTATTTAAGGTATATGTGCATCGTATGATAGTTATGAAACAGAAGTTATTTCAAATATTACAAAAAAGGTAATGTATATTGAACTTAAGCATTGCTTTCAGTTTAATAAGTTTTGAAAAAAAATGGTCATCTTATATATAATATATATATATATTATATAGATATAATTGATAGATAGATACATATGTTATCAAATATCGTTGTTTTCATAAAGAAGAGAAATTTAATATATTCCCAAGACCCTGGCAGCCCCAGGTATATACTGCTTAATGAACGCACAAGTCACTGTGCTTAACAGATTGATTTTTCACAAAGACAGTGCAAATTCTGGCTGGGACGGCCAGTTTGTAAATAAATTGTTACTGTCTTGTATCCACAGGAATGCTTTGACAAATGTGCCGCTGATCCGTTTTGTCAAGGATTTAGTTATTTGGGAACCGACTTCTGTGAGCTCTACAAAGCTTCGGGAAATCTCACTGACTTTGAAAATGACCAACATGGGATAAAATATGTTACCTGCCCAAATAACATTGCAAGTAAGTCGATATATACAATTTGTTTTATATACAATTTGTAGGTTTAATATTTAAGAGGTTTGTGTGTGTATGTGTGTATGATCCCTGAGGACGACGAGGCCTAGCGATAGAACGCTCGTTTGCCTACACAAAAAAATTCAAGAGATCGAATCCAGGATCATATCAATAGTGAATCGACCCAGCTCCGATGAATACCTAACTTACGTTAATGAAAGTCTACATAAGCCTTGATCTTATACTAAACTAAAGAACTACTTTACTTGACACACTACCAATCAAAATTTTAAAAGTAGGCTATTTTACTTAATTGTTTCCGCTTATTTTCCGTCTATTGTATGTTTTTTTTTGTCGAACGCTAGGATTGAAGATGTATTAGTATCATATGTATAAACACACAAGTTTCCACAGGAGGGATCGACAATTCGAACAGCATGTTTAAAAAAAAAACGGTATACCTCATTTCTAGGATTAAATCAATCAAAACTTGAAATGATTAACATCTATTGCAGAATACAAAAAAAAACTTATTTCACAGCATGTCGAATGTGAGTTTTAAGTATAGGCTCCACGGATATAATTTTGCTTTTATTCAACACATTTCTTGGTGTTTAATAAATTCATGTTTAAAGTTGTTAAACTATAGACAAAAATTATGGGTGTTGCCACATAAATATCAATATTTTCTAAAGTATTGTAGTAAACATAATGTACAAATGCAGTTTTGTGGATCGTATAATGCTAAAAGCAGGTGGAATGTTTCAGTCTTGTATGATACAGGGTTATAAAGCCATAGTGATTTGAATGTTGAATTTTGAGTAAAAATGCAAAGTTGAGAAAACGTGAAAAGAAAGCCGGAAAAGGCACTGTGCGTGTCCTCTTACAGAAAACAGAAAAGGACTTCTTTTTATATGTGGAAGAACCATTTGGCTAATACAATACGCGTTGATTTTTGTTGCAAGTTTTAGATAGATTCTTCTGTGTAAGCAGAAAATATGTATACAACAGGTAATGAATTATTGACTATTATGTGTTACACGTAACACATCCTGTCATTCGATTGTTTTTCACAGAACAACTATCATCAAACCAGATTAAGTTTTGTTTGTTAGCCGGTCTTCTCACTTCAAAACAATGTCTATCCCTTCTTAAATTGTAGCTTACAAAAGTTTATTGCCTTATGATAATAGCCTACTACACAACACTGGGTACAACGCTTGAGGCTAGACACGCCCCTCCACCCCACCCCACCGCTGGATAGTGCGTGAGGAACCGATGAGCCATAGATTATCAATGTTAATTCAACCATAAATAACACATCTGTGTAGATAGGGTCAAGTACTGGGCCTAAGTGTATGCTTGTCAGCTATCCCATCTAGTATTTACTTTCATTGCTAGCAAACCCTATACGGAGAGATGGGCATACACATTAAAACATGTGTCGTAAACAGTCCGGTGTAAAGCCTGATGAACGCGTTCAAGCCTATCACAGCATATCACAACACGCTTATAAACTGGCCGTTGGTTGAATGGCGAGAAGGGGATGAGGGGGATAAAGGGGATGGACAGCACATTCTTCAAAATGACAGACATGTCCATGACGCATCGTTTCAGCTTAGTATAAAGCGTACGAAACAGTATTTAACAGTGTTCCAGTGATAATCAACAGTGCATTTCTAGGCAAAGTTTCAATTAAAACTCAATGTTGTTGTATAACTTTAAAACAACAAATAGAAGAGTATACGCGAATGAAGTAAACAAGTAATTAAAAAAAGTCTAGTGACAATTTTAGCGCAATTTCCTTATGTTATCTAAAAATAGCTCTGTCGTAGCGCAAATCAAGAGCAGGGTTAGTAAAACCATTGGTTAGTTATTAAAAAAAAATTGTATTAATTTTTTTTTCAGTATTTTACATGTTTTATTTACAATATACTGGAAAAGTCTATGTAATCATACTAAATTGTTTTAAAATTATTTTTAAAAATATGGCAAGCGATAAAATTATAGCTACAATTTTAAAAATTAAAGTCGATAAGGAACCATCGATTACACTCCTTTTCAGATTTTTGTGTTGAACATAAGCCGTTGAAAATGATTTTGAATTATTGTATAAATTTAAATATTTAATAAAACCGCCCTCAACCCCACCTTGAACTGAACTGAACTGGCCAGGGAGAGTAAAACGATGGAAGTCATAACATTTATTGTCCATGATAAATACCGACAAGGTGATCCAAGGAAACAAAATGGCGAACAAGGGAATATTTTCAGTTCGATTCAGGCTTTAAAAATTCGTTTGTATCCCCTTTCATTATAGTTGGCTTATTTTTTTATGACTGTTATGCTCAGATTACTAATATCTAACGCTATTCTTATTAATTGTTACCAATGTTTTTGTAGAATGTTTTTAACGCACGTTTCATTATTTTTTTAGTTTTTAGTCCTGTGACTCGACTACTCACTTCACTGTGAGTGCTCCTAGCAGTAAGCTAGAGCTAGATCTAGATCTAGATCTAGATTATCTAGACTAGATAGATTTATATCGAGAATCTAGTACTAGATTCTAGAAGGAGTCTATTGAACTATTGAGATCTATTCTAGATATCTAGATCTAGTCTAGATCTAGAGAATGTATTATATTAATTTATTATCAATTATCTAGATCTAGATCTAGATCTAGAATCTAGATTTCTAGATCTATTCTAGATCTAGTCTAGAATCTAGATCTAGATCTAGAATATAGTTAATCTAGTATTAAGTATAGTATAGATCTATGAAATAAATCTAGATTCTAGATCTAGACTCTATATTATATATTCTTTAGACTAGATCTAGATCTAGAAAATCTAGATCCATATACTTTATAATTATAATATATATTATATACTATATAGGCATCTAGTCTAGATCTAGTCTAGTCTAGTAGTAGATCTAGCTTTTCTAGTATGTTACAGCTTTTTAATATGTTTAATTATTTATTAAATATAAAAATACTAGATGTAGATCTATTCTAATTTATAAAGTTAATACTTAATACTCAATATTTCAATAATACTAATACTAACTAGATCTATATTCTATAGAATAGATCTTTTTATAGTTAGTTAAGTAACTTTATATTAATATATATTATATTGTATGTCAGTATATCTATTAAGTATAAGTCAAGTAGTAGAGATCTATTCTAGTCTAGATCTAGAAGTTATATAATATTATATATTTTATAAAAATCTATATTAAATAAGTCAAGTATTTTAATTTAATAGTAATAATAGATAAGTTAAATAAATTAAGCCCATAGTTTATATTATAAATGTGTAGCTAGTATAGACTAGTTTTAGAGACTAGTCATAGTAAATGGTTAATCTTAGTAATTAGTTAGTAGGGCACTACATACACCTAGTCTAATAAATGATTAGTCTAATTAGTTAAAATACTTGTTAAAATATATTTACTTTAGTAGTAGTTACTAGTAGTATTAGTAAGTATAGTTACTCTATACAGTTACTAGGTATATTATAATACACACAACATCAGAATTGCAAAATCATAACATTAGTGAATCAATTATTTAGTAGGCCAATAATTTCTTTATTTAATTTAATTGTAATATAGAGAGGCTCACTAACTCGAAAGCGTCCTTGGTTGCTAACCAGAACATGGCTACCACACCTTGGCCTACGATTGGGCAATTTTTTCAGCTTTGTTCGAGAGACCACCTTAACATTAACATTAAAAATAATTATCACGCGAAAAATGGCGGTTTTTTTTGCGTATTTTAAGCTATCTGAAGATGACAAAGCTATTTTTGCCAGAAAAAAAATTAAAATTTGCTTCCGACAATGTAGGTCAAACGTAAACATGGGTATAGTTTGAGTTGTTTAAAAACTTTAAATAATGGTCTGTTATGTGTCCAAATGGCACTGTTCGGTAGGCTATTATTAGACTGATCGTTTAGTGAAAAAATATTGTAATTATTTTATAACCATTTTAAGAAATCGGCGCCCAAAAAAGGTCACTGAAAGCACGTAATTTTTAACTGTGACGTCATCGCTATTGTGATGGATGCTGTACGGAAGTATGCGCAATAGACGCTAAAAGGGTTGTATATTATTTCAAATGGGCTCACAATTTGGCCTTGATTTCATGCGTAATTAGGCTAATTGAGAATCATTAGTGATCTTTTACCTGGCCATGTGATGATAGGTATCTTACAAGGCTATAAAAGCCCGCGAAACACATCGATCTACCCTTCAGATTGGTATTGGTGAGAGTATTTGATGCATACTTATTATAGCAAGGATAACTAACTTGAAAGCGTCTCTGGTTGCTAACAACACAGTAGCGTAGCGAGGGGGGGGGGGCGGGGGGGGGGGGACACATGTCCCCGGGCGCCGAGCTTAGGGGGCGCCAAAATGGGTTGGAAAAATAAATTGAAAGGTTGAGGGGGGTGCAAATTGAAAGTTTGAGGGGGGTGCAAATTAAAATCTCGAGGGGGGGGGTGCAAATCAAAATCTCGAGGGGGGGGGGGTGCTAATCGAAAAGTTTGTCCCCGGGCGCCGGGAAGGGTCGCTACGCCTCTGTAACAACAACATGGCGTCCTAAACCGGACGCTTAGTTTCGGACATTTTTCTTGTCTGCCCAAGTGACTTTATAGGAATTCGTTTTTAAAATGTTTACCTCGTGAAAAATTGCGGTTTTTTCACATAATGTAAACAAACTATAGTTGGCAGTGCTAAATATGCCAGAGAAACGCTATAAATTGCTTTGGATAATGAAGACCGAAGCTCAAAAAGTGGTGCCGACAAACATTCGTAGATCTTTTTAAATATTAGCAACTACGATGTAGATCGGAAACCGAAAGTACATCAATATTAGATTTAACAGTCTGTGTAAAAATAAATCGAATATTACATGCGCTATTTTTTTTTTAAATTCTCCAAAACGGTCACCACCAGAAGTAAAAATTCCATAACCCACGTGACCGCTATTTGGCGGCAGAC